CCCCAAAACCCCAAAACCCCAAAACCCCAAAACCCCATCAACTAAAATATTTTATAATAATGAGGACTATTGAAAATAAATAAAAAATCAAATTAGTGATAGTTCATTGGATTTTAATCAAATTTCTAGTTTTTATTAATCTACTTCCGTCATCTACTGTAAAATCAAGATTCTTAATAATCATCAAAAAGTACTCTTCGCTATTAAAACCTTTCACCTTGAAGTCTTTCCTCTCTTAAAAAGACCTCTATTCATTATGAAGAGTTTCATCTTCATGTTCATGATCATCATGGATATGTAAATAGTCTAAATTGCTATTATCATCATTAATCTTAAGTTAATCGGTCAAAATATCATAACTAGATGGCTTAAACTTAAGCCCAAAAACTGAAATTTAAGCAATCTTCAATTCAATAGCCTAAGGATAGTATGAATCAGTCTAAATAATTTCATAAGTCAAAGTTTTATTTTGATACGCATATTTGATATAGCTACTTTCATTATGAGTTTAGTATCTAAAACTATCTCCGTCATCTAGATATAAAAGCCCCTCTGCTTATTGATTTCTGTCTAGGTATATTTCAAGCTTGATTGGCAATCTTATCAATCTTAGCAAGGATAATTTATTCTGATGCATTTTAATTGGAATAATACTACCCCCTCTTATGAAAATTGCCTGCTCATGAAGTTATAGCACAAGTATTTAAATATCATTATCATCTTTTTGAATCTGCTTGTTTATATAATTATACCATAGATCCTCAATTGGTAAGTAGCAATTTACTATGTATACGACTTCAACAACTTGTCCAAAGAATTGTTTTTGTTCTTTCTGGCCTTTTTATAATTTTGGCACGTATAAAATAGAACTACCAAGCATGAATTATTCAGTGATCTTGAATGCTCTTAAATTTTTGGGATATTCATACCAGAGAGGTCTCATCAAAGGTACTCCCTCGGTGCTTGCTTAGTAAAACAGAGTATAGCTAAAAATATCATTATAAATTTTAGACTTACTAGTAATGAATGAAGTCATATCTGATTAATATAGAATCTTTAATGACTTTCTAAGTTTCTTCATCCTATAGATAAGGCTCTCTTCCTTTCATATCTAAGTGACCATGAGCTCTCATAAAAGGATAAAATGAGCCAAGTTGATAGAATAAACAAAATAGTTCATCTGAAGGCCTCCCGTGAAATCCAGGAATGTCTGCACCAACAAAGGATATTCCGGTTAGACCCAATGTCATCATCTAATTAATTGAAACTGATAACTCCTTGAAGGTTGATAAATTATCACCAGTCCATTTAGCTGAAAACCTTTAAGCCCCAAAGAAGACTGATCTTGTCAAAATAAATGGCCTTATTTTATCCTCATCCCTATTAAGCATTCCATAGTAAGTCGCTCTAGACATCATCAACCCGTAAGCATTATGCAAATCTCTATGTGACAGCTTCTTTCCCTCGCTGTTGTAATGAATTGCAAACTTCGACATTGTACCTTCAGGTGTGTTAAAAACAGATGGCTCATTCATATCTATCCATATCTGAAATAAATTGTTAAAGCCCTTGAAAACTCTATACTAATACAGTGACCCCCAAAATATTTAAGCTGGTCCATTAAAGAAATCGACCCATAAGCTTTACCCAGGCCAGCAGTTGCCTACTATTGTTTAATTTAGATCATTCTTGATAAAGATATTAATATGCTCTCCTTAATGCTCTCTAAGTTCAAGTTGATTACCCTTAATATATACAAAGTAGTTTTAATCTTTTTTAATGTGAGGATCAGTGATCAAAACTAGTCTCCTCTCACTTTGATGAATAAGTTTACTCATTCTGATAACATCATCATCAGTAAATGATCTCTAGTTGAATAGGAAATATCTAACATCATCAGTATGAGGAAGATCCATCCATAACACATCTAAAGGTATTTCAGCTTCTTCGAATTGATCATTTATATAGCTAATTCTCTTCGCTGATGACTCTTATTCCCATTTTGAGTAGTGAAAGCCTAGGGTATAAAGTGGGGGTAAGAATTGAAATCCAGATATAGTTGCCACCAATTTTGAGAGTCTTTTTGGTGAATCTCTTGCTGCACTTCCTATTAAAAAGAACTCAATTTAACCTGACTCTGAGACAAAATTAGTTAATCTACCTTGATCATGTGATCTAATATCAACCCATGTTTCAGCAGAATTGTACCAAAGAATGGCAGCATCAAAATCTTAGTGATGAGCTTAAAGATAAGGGATGCTACTGTATAAACCTGTATTATTCCATTCCTAATGAGGAAATATATCAATATTGTACAATCTATAAGGGTCACTTTCCTCTGTAAGCCCTAATAGCAACTTCTCAGATCTTTCAGGTAACCCAAATAAATACTCTGAGTTAATTCTGAATGATAATGCCATGCTTTGCCTTATTATATCTTTTCTAACTATGTTATAGTAAAATGTTGTTAGCCATGAATTTTCTTGAACATTTCCAAATACCTTGGATCTTCTATTAAAGGGCATATCTTACATCATCTTGAATATTGGATCTTGCTCAAGCTTGTTCAAATCTATTTCATCTTTGATTGATTTGTAGGTCATAAAACTCTGAGTGAATTTGAAATAATTTTCAAAGTACAGTGTATCCTTGTCATTGACAATGATTGTAGTATAGCCATTTACTATTTATTCTATTCTGAACGGACTAAATATGATTCTATACTCATAACTATCCAACTAATCTTCGCTTATAGTCTTTAGGATTATTTTGTTTCCATCCTATTAAATCACATCTGATATTTTATGTTTATTGCAATTTAGCTATTCCTCAACGATAGATGCATCCATATCATGCTCTGAGATTCTAAACCTATCCTTATTTATCTCTTTCTCGTTAATAATCACTCTTAAGATGCCATCTTGATAAAGTTTCAGAGTCAGCGTCATATTCTAAACTGCAAAGATCGATTTATTAATGTCTAGCTCTTCAGCCATACTTATTACTTCAATGTCACTTTTGAAATTCAAAGTAGCGTTTAATGTATTTCCTTCATAAAATATAGTCTCAGAGTCTAATGCATAGTAGAAATACGACTTTTGGGATTCTTGCTTCAAATCGAATATCATTCTATGTCTTTCACAAAATTCTACTATTGTTAATCAATTTATCTACTTACTAGAATCTATGCAGGTGTTTATTTTAGTAACATCTTAATGAGTAAATTAGAAGCAACAGAAAATAGATATTATCCATACTAGTGTTGAGATTTTGTTATAAGCAAAAGAAATTTTAACATTTTGACTTTACATTTACAAAAAATAATACTATAATATGATCTGATATTTTAATTACTTCCTTCATCAAAACTAATAATAATTATATTTTATCTTATGGGGTTTTGGGGTTTTGGGGTTTTGGGG